TAAAGGTGAACTTATCTTTATTTTTGTTCCAATATCTATAATTTATATTGCTTGACAATCAATTAGTCATTCTTCCATATCTTTGTTCTTATTTTCCTTATCCTTCCTAATTTTCTTCTTGTAAGCTTTTATATCCCTGGAGTATTAAAATGATACATCACGTGTGGGAAAAATATAGTGGGAAGAAAATGAATTTGCAACCACTATTAGAATATCTAGAACAACATACTCAAATAAATTTAAGATGGAAAATTATACTAATTGAAATAAGGCCAATCCGAATATATATCAAAATCATATCTATACTACTATGAATATGCAACCACTATTAGAATATCTAGATCAACATAACCGAATAAATTTAAGATGGAAAATTATACTAATTGAAATAAGGTCAATCCAAACATATATCAGCAGCATATCTATACTACTATTAAATTGTTGTTTGTGAATCTCCCAATACATCATCGTGATCGTTGATTAAAAAAATCTTAAATTAATATCCATCGTTAATATTCCAATACCTTCTTCTTAAAGAGGAGTCCCTACTTCTTTGTGACGAGGAGTCTTTATCTGCTAGCGAAATGGCGTATTTCTTATTTCTTATTCCAATCAACGCATCCCTGCATGAAATAACGCATTCTCTTTGTATAAAATTTCATGTGCTCGTAAGAAGATGTCTACTCACGTGAATGTTTTGCTCGCAGGATAGCAAACATCCCAATGTGAGTTTCTCTTAACATTCTTCCCAGTTTTTTTTTACTTGCCTCGGCCTTTCACCGACGGCCCCTCTATCCTCGATTTCTTCTCTCAGAACATCATATTTTTTTTCTTCCATATATATATTTATTATTCATATTTTTTACCTACCAAAATCTTAATATTGTTCCTTTTTTTTTGTTTGAACTCATATACTACTACAGTTTTATCTCTCAAGATGCTTCTTTTGGCTGTGCAACAACCCTTCGCTCTATTTGAAGTTTTTTTTTTTTTCATTTGATTTCTCTTATACATTCAAAATACTTCGCCCTTCTAACTTAACCTAGCTTCCAATTTAAAGAATGATAATTTATATCTTATTAATATGTCTTGTTAGTTGGATTTATTGATTTTGATTAATTTGTCTCTTAGTATGTCATCTGATTTTTGCTTGTAGCTCTATTCCATGTTCTTTCTTTTAAAGTATCTCACTTTATTTAGTATTTAAAGTTCACTAAAATTACATGATTTGCATCTTGTAACTTTCTATTTAAGGCTTTTGTTGTAAAATTGTATTAATATTGTGCTAATGAGCTTTTTTTACGTTGAGTTCCATAAAAATTTTGCTCTTATATAAATTTATGTTTTTATATATATTTTTTTTTGTATGTGGATCAAAGTGAGTTTAGGATCTCTTTTTCACTGCTTCGCTTTTCAAACCACAGTCACAATTATATTTTGTTTGTCTGCTATTTTTATACTTTTCTCATTGTTTTCTAAAATTTGTTTTTGAAACAATCAACTTGCACATATGTAGTAGCTTTATGAAACATTTGATGGTTGTTCACACTTCCTTAAGAGAATCAGGTTATGAATTCAGGCCATAGTACCTTAATTTACTTCGCTTTGTAAATTCATTAAGCTTTTGATTATGAAGTTTGTAATTATATATATATATATATATATATATATATAATATATATATATATTTAAAAAACCTTTACTTCAACAAAAGTTGCATTGTACACGGCTATGTTAGGCCCAATTGCGTTCCATATTGAAGTTTCCACTATACATGGCTCTAGAGTAGAAATATTTGGTCAACCATATTAAGAAACCATTTTTGTCACATGAGTGATTTAGTAAGCTGAATGCTTGATTTTTTCACTTAAGTTTGCTTGTTATCATAACATCTTCATTTTTTATCTATAAAGAATCTCACGTAACTTTTACGGCTTGATAAAAAATATTTATTAATGATGTTCATATATCTTACTCTTCAACTACATCTACGGT